TAGAGCCTATGAGTTTCTTTCCTAGTCCCCTAGAATGCTAAACAACAATATACTTAAACAGAAGTTACTTTGGCCACAACAACCCCAAGCAAAGCTATAGGCTGGAGGCAGAGTAGCTGCAAGATTGTGGAAGAAATGGACCTGAGGGTGTTGATTGACATTTGCCTAAACATGAACCAACAGTGTGCCCAGGTGGCCAAGAAGGCCAGCAACATCCTGGCTTGTATTAGAAATAGGGTTGTCATCAGGAGCAGGGAAGTGATCATCCCTCTGTACTCAGCACTGGTAAGGCAGCATCTTGAGTGCTGTGTTCAGTTTTGGGTCTCTTACTTAAAAAAAGACATCGAGGCACTACAGCATGTCCAGAGAAGAGCAACAAAGCTGCGAAGGGACTGGAACACAAGCCTTATGAGGAGAGGCTGAGGAAACTGAGATTGTTTAGTCTGGAGAAGAGGAGGCTCAGGGGAGACCTCATCATTCTCTATAACTGACTGAAAGGAGGTGGTGGTGAGGTGGGAGTCAGCCTGCTCTCCCACATAACTAGCAATAGAACTGAAAGGAATAACCTCATGTTCCATGAGGGGAGGTTCACATTGGATAATAGGAAAGGTTTGCTCTAACAAAAGAGTGGTCTGGCTCTAGAATGGGCTGCCCAGAGATGTGTTCAAGAAATGTTTAGATGTGGTACGAGGGTACATGGTTTAGTGGGGTTATATTGATAGTTAGGTGAACGGTTGGACTGGATGATCTTGGAGGACTTTTCCAACTTCAGTGATTCTATGATTCATGGTTTTCTCAGATTCAGTAAACGCTGTATATTCATTCCCTCTTCTCATTCAGATTCTAATGAATGCTTCTTTGCTGGACATCTACAATGCAGGACTGCAAGTACTTTTCTCCTTGTCAAATACACTCCATAAAAATACTGTTGTCCTGCTGATTTAGTATATACACACACATCTAGTAAGGAACAACCAGCATAGCCTGACAAGTACAGTCCTGTGTGGGATTTTTCTCCCATGATTATCAGAGAAGATAAATGAAATTTTCCAACACAGCCATATCAAAGTCCACAACACATTGGTATGTGCGGGGTTTGCACACAATAGGAGGAGGATCTGGAGAGGAAAGTTATTTTTGCATTCTAAATTATGAGAGAGAACTTTGAAACAGTGATAGTGGAGGAAGCATTTTCATTAGATATGTTTCACTTTCTTCCTAAGCAATCCACTTACAGAAGCTGTATGTTGTTACATGACATATTTCCACTTTCCTGCAGAACTGCCTGTGATTTTTTGAATGCTGTTTGTTGTTACTGCCTTTCTTCTCCGACACAATGCACCATTTTTTAACCTTTTCAGTAACCCAGTGACACCTCTGGAATATTACAGTATTCCTGTCAAAATGTCTGGTCTGCAACAATAAACTTTACATTGATGTCTTGCTTTTCGGGAATAATTACACCGTTCCTTAAATGTTAGCCTATTTACTATTTGTGCAAAAAGATGACAATAAAATCAATGGAACACAATTCCCAAATGTATATCAAAGTCTTTTGCAATGTTAATGGATTAGTGTGTCTATAGAGGTGCAAGATCATTTTGTCTCAATGCTTGGATGTGCACATGATATGCACTTCCTCAAAGCTAAACTTATTAACCCTTATCTGCTGAGCTCATCCGTTCAAAAAGTTAGTTTAATCTCCCTGCATTTGTCAGGATTCCATTTTTTTCAAGTCAAGCCCGGGAATGCTGCCCATCAATCAATAGGTGTATGATGAAGGAACTTCGTCCTGCTACCTATGACCAGCGGCTGTTTTTTCAATGATTCCGCAGGAGTCAAAAACTCAACAAAGCGAATCGCGGATGCTGTAAAGGGAGCATGCTGCTCATGTCTGTGACCACTGTATGCAAAGCTTGGCATTAGTCACCGCCAGGCCGCCTCTGACAGCCCTGAAGTGAGGGAGATTAATGTGAGGCAGGGGCACTTTATTATTGTCATTCTGTTCTTTCACACTCTGCCTCTGACTTTCAATTTTGCTCCAGAATTAATTGTCTGCTCCCTACAGTATGACTGATGTAGAAGGATACAAGTAACATAGGCACCTGGTTCTGGCCTTGACAATCTGACTCGTTGTTGCAGGATGTATTGTGTACAGTCAAATTCAGGGACAGACGGGCATCTTTCAAAAGAAATCAGCCAATGTTTTTTTTTACTTCAATCAGATTTGACTGTAGATTATCCTTCCCTAAGACAATTTTTTTCTTGTAGAGATGCTAACAAAATGCCAGTGCTATTATTAAGCACCACTGCTGTTTTATGCAGCCTCATATGAGGCCTTTCTTTCTAAGCTCTTCTTTTTATGTTTGAAAGTAGTAAATTAGTCATGTAGTAGTGTTAAATCCCTGCCCTCTCAGAGTTAAGCATTGTTGTGAGAATATTATATATATGGTATCTTTGACAATATAAATACATGGCTATGTAAGGCAGTATCATTTACTATTTATTGTACTAACAGTTCCAAAGCAAATTACACGCAAAGTAAGACAAATATTTGAAGATCCTGTATCTAATAGAATATCTACTGTTCATCAGACTTAAATGAACCGCTGTACAAAGAGATCAAAGAACATCTTCACTAGAGAATTGAGGACGGAAAAAAATCACTTTCAGGATGGAAAAGACCATACAGGATCAGTCTTTGAACATGAATGTCTATCTATCAGTCTGGTTTTTTTTCAGGTTAACATTTGATGATGACAGATGCAAAGCCAGTTCTACACCGCAGCAAAAGAAGGCGCTTCACCTTTATATTTAAAAAGTCAACGCTGGCTAGTAGTCACAGACGTTGTTACCAGATGTACAGGCAAGAATATCAATATTTGTTATTCTAAAATAACGCTAACTGTGGTATATTTGGGAAAGATTTCATTTTTCTTGCCAGATACTCTATATGATCGTTAATACTTTCAGTTTGATTTTATAATATTTGGGCATACTAGTGATAAACTTGATAACAGAATATATAAAAATAAGCAACACAGAATGTTCTACTGCTTAATGTTTCTTCCTTATTAGATGGGTGGGATTCAAAAGGATATCAGGAATTTCTTCCCAAATATGCTCCCTGAATAGAACACACAGTAAATTATTGTGCTCTATCTCATCTATTTCTTCAAAATGACTACGATACTATATTAAATGGTAAAGAAATATATAATATGCTGAACTGTCTTCTATCCTGGATACCACAAGGAAAGTGACCATCATTCAGTGAGGACAATCCAACCTCATTACTTGAATGATTTATCATAATGAGCAAAATGTAAAAACATAACTGGTTGCTTTTATCAGAGGAAGCAGCTTTTCCCAATTGGTAGGGTTTTCCTGGACTTTTCGGCAAGGATGTATTTCAATATTCTCAAAACACACAAAAAGCAATAAGAAACTGCCTCTTTAAAAAGGTATGTGGGTAAATGTTGTAATATCCTTCAAACCTGACATTAAGTATTCAAATGTTACTTAAGCAAAGTGTGAGCAATTAAATTAATCAATCTTCCCAGCCATGTACCGAACAGATGTTCAATAAATCCTCTCTGCTTACAGTGTGGGAGAAAGAAAGTCCACTTTTAGCTGTCCTTCAGTGATGACATCCCTCAGCCCGTCCTTTCACAAGGCCTCATGGGCTGCTGCCAGGCAGTTCTGCTGTGTTGTTTCTTTATTATAAATAACAACAGACCACCTGGACTACCTGCACTACCTGGAAGCTGAGGTTTAATGATCCTTCAGGCTACATCCTCAGCTCTCTCCTGATCCCAGATAATGGGACTGATGGGAATGGCAGAGGAGTGACGGATGGCAGTGACAAATTACTCCAGATAAACATGTGCTGACAACGAGTGAATATGGGGCAGTGTTGCAGAAAGGTCAAGATAAAAGTATTTGCTTGACTTTCAAAGTTTCTCCATGAAAAAGCAGTCGGCATCCTCATATTGTTACTACCAGATAGCTTTACCAAGCAGATTTGTAGAACACACTGTCAAATTATTGCAAATCTGGCAAACAACAATTCAAGTGGGATCAAATGCTCCCACCTTTCAGTAAAATTAGCCATCTGCAAAGCTAGAGCAGCTCTGCTACAGAAACATACAAGAACCTGAATATTTGCAATTTTCAGTGTTGAAAGCCACTAGCAGATGCACACATGCCCTCCTGGTTTCACGTGCCTGTTCTGTTCTGACCAGGCTCCCATCCCAGCCTCAACAGTGCTCTCTCATTCTCTCCAGCACAAGGAAACGTGACTTTGCAACACAGTTTTTCTGCCTAATTATCACATGAGATGTCTCCTTAGCAGAAGTTATAAAGTTCACCTGAAAGTCCCGTGATATAAGATTTGATTATTATAAGATACGCCATCAGATCTGTGTTAGAATTTTTACCCATTAAGAACTAATGTTATTTATGGCACTCCCCCAGCTTTAAACAACAAATCCTATTGGTTTATATGATATACACGATGCATCTCATCATCTTAACTTTTTACATGTTAATATCATCTGTGATCAAATGAGTCGACTGACATTCAAATGTAATGGTTAAAATTTCTGCACCACAGATATACAACTTCAACCTTTTGAATGCTGCCATTCCATATATGGACTTTATCCACATTTTAATGAGGCTTTAAAATCTCCAAGATTAAGCTAGTATTTTATATAGAACTGCCTGCTTTTTATGATATCCTGACATGTTGTACAACATTTGTGACTATATTGATCCTTATAAATTCAGCATCTATATATATTCATGGAAAGTATGCCCCTCCACGTTCACTACATAGAATAAATGGGGTGAGGGGGGTGGGTCGTTCTTAAACGATTTGCTCAGCAGTAGACAAGTAAGGAATATCACAGTAGCACTGTTGCACAATTTAGCAACACTTAACAAATTCAACTACCATGCACAATAAAGGAATGCCAGAATTCTTCCTCAAATCTTACCCTATTTCACTCTCCTTCTGGCAAGACTGTTACAAGTCCTGAGGGGGTAAACTGTGATGTTCTCACACCTGGGACAGTTATACATCTTCATGTCCTCATCGTCGCCTGACTGCAGAGACAAGCCTTCCTGTGCTCTTTCATGCTTTTAATCTAAAGCAAATGATTGCAAGAAAAAAAAAAAAAAGAAAAAAAAAAAGCATTATCACCTTGGCAAGGCATCAGGAGTTAAAAAAAAAAATAATAATAATAATAAAAGGAAAAAAGAAAGAAAAAGAAAAAAAAAGCAAGAAAAAGTCTATGGGCAAATTCATCTTCCATTGCTACAATCAATCTCTCACCTAAAGAAATACACAATAACTAGGCAGGAAGGGGCCAAGATTTATGGCCTAGAAACATCTACACTGACCAGCATACACCTAGCCTTCTTGGCTCCCTCCTCGCCAGAATGGCTCTTTCTAACAGTTACAATGATATACTGTCTCTCCCTACTGTTTTACAAGTACATTAGCTTTATTTAATGAGATCTCTGAGTAATTTAACAGATGTATATAGGACATAAGACTAGAAAAACTCTTGCTACTTGAATATTTTCACCAAGGTATTCTAGGGGTAGATAATCTCTGCTACCATGTTATGTTCCTTGAAATAGTGTTATTGGAATTTTGAGAAGGTTTTTAAAAATCATTTTAATAGAAATAGAATATTATAATCAAATAGAATAGAGCAATATTCAACATTTGCTTGTATCAAGACCATAAAAATCAGAATAAATGCAGCTATTTTAGATCCTCAAAACTATATATTAAAAGGCCTGAGAGAAATTCCAGTTCACAACAACTGGTTGGCTCAATAGGAAAGCACTTGAAATACTGCATTCTGAGTTGTTGATTACTGTATGAAGTGTACATAACTGTTGCTTCCGATAATTCTGCTTTCTGTTATCATACATCTGTTTCTGGACTCCAGGCAATGCTTAGAATGGCTGCTGTTGTCCAGCAAACTAGTTTTAAATAATACTGTTAGTTAGTAAAATATTAAACAAAAAAGACTATAATAATAGATTCTACAATTACTCCAATAATCAACCAATTAATAATATTGAGAGGTAGTTATAAGGAATTACCTGTTTAAAATAGCGTTCAAGCAATTTTTCTTAGTTAAAGAAAGAAGTTGCATAAATTTCATGCTTTTGTCTGTGTGTTTTTGCAGCAGCACAAAATCCATACAGCGTCTTAATGTTTTCTCATGCATTATATCTTTAAACTTGATTAAAAATAGAGTATTGCCCCAGATTCAGTAAATGACTTCAATGAACTACATTAAAAAAATTCAAGAACTTCAATTCTACCCAGTGGTGAGACTAGCACTAATTGAGCTTAGTGGCATTTTTCTGTAAATAATGTATAGTCTCATTAAAGAAGGTTTATTTTAGTTTGAAAATACATTTCTTTTTAAAATTCTTTTAAGCTGAAGGAAGTGGGGGAAAGGCTGAAAGCAGTATTAACTATTCTGGCAAAGTGTTAAATGCCCTTCTGGTTTACAGGATATTGTGTTAACCTTGAATTAGACCATATAACAGTTCCAGAGCATTTATACATCACTACCTATAGAGGAATAGGATGCTTACAAGTATGTTGCAACAGATATGCCTCGTATTCAGAGCAGAAGTAGGTAAATATCTGACCAAATGAAATATACTGAATGACACTTAAATACTATATCACGTCTACTACAGCGATGATGGTTTCTTCTTTAGAAAGCAACAAACTTCAAGTTGGGAGCTTCAAATATAGGTATTTCTTTATATACTACAAAAACACTGATCAATTTCAGGGTACAAATTTATCAATACTGATGGCACAACATTATACTACAAGTCAAGAATGCACAAAATTTCTGCTGAAGCAGAAAAGAGAGTGGGAGAACACAAGCTGGAATACAGAAAATTCACTGCATGAAATTTCATTTCTTGAGAGCTATAGATCAAGTTGTATTTGTTTAATGAGGTTGACACTAGAAAGATGTATAGAACATGTCAGACACCCAGTACCAGTGCGTTCTGGGAAAAAGATAACATCTGAGAATCTGACCACTCACTTCGTCTTCTAGCCAGACTTCTCTATCTACTGGTTCTTTGGGGGATTATAAATGAGAGGGCAGAAAGAACAAGGAGCAAAATAATGAAAAATACACAAAAAAAGAAAAATTATAACATTGTAGAGCAACGTAAAGCCAGATTTATTGACCTCACAACTACATAATCAAGAGAAAGTTATCACTATAGAAACTTTTACTAAGCGAAATGATCTTAAATAACAAGGGAGTGCTATGAAATTTACAGCACTTTTAAGATATGCAAATTGAATGCAAGGTATAGACATAAGGGTAATTAATTGTAAATCTAAGAATAATGTTTCTTTGTCAGGGCTGTCTCCATGTTGTGGAATACATTCTAATGTGCCTTAAGTCTGAATATTTCTTAAAGGCTGGTCTAATTATATGATGTTCAGAATTTCAAAATAGTAGTTATTCTTATCGTTTAATATAGCTGCTGTAAAGTTTCATAGCAAAATTTACTGATTACATGAAAATATTTTCTTTTACTTTTCAAGGATAAAGCACTTATTTAAAAGTCTGGGCACTGAGAGCTTGTTTTGGAAAAAAATAATATGATAGAAACAGCTTTTGTCTAAACCTGTTTTGTGTTTGATTTTTTTTTTATTTTTTTTTTTTAAGAGGAGAGTAAAGGAAGGTTAAAAGGAATCAAAACCACTACCAATAAACATCTTCATCTGATGCGACTTTAAGTTACAATGTTAGTTTTCTAAGGACTTTGAGAATAAAATATAATTTTCTAAATACATTGTTTACTTCATTTTTTCCTGTATTAAATTGTAAGCTATTCATCTGATAATGATTAAGGTCAACCCTTCCATTATAACAAGACAATAAAAACTCAATTCATCATTTAAAGGCTTGGTATTCAAACCCCAGACTTAAAAGGAAATTCATATAAGTTTTCAGAACATATGAAAACTTTTACAAAAATAATTCAACTCTCTGCCATTTTCTGAAGCCAGCCTACTGTGGTTCCTGACAAAACAAAACAAAACAAAAAAAAACAACCACTATTTGAGCTGTTTTCAGTGTTTAATTAATGTAGATCTATTAAAACTAAGTTTCATAAGGAGACAGCAAAAGTCTTCACCATTAACAACGCCCTAATATCTGAGACGTATTTGATCTGTAGTTAAAAAGCACTCATATCCTTATTTCTTTGCAGAAATTCCTACAGATCAGTAGAACAGTTAAACAGTATAAGCAGCAAAAAGAGCACGAACTAAAAAATCCTTCCTTATTTTCATCAATGTTACATTCCTTTTACTTGTACAAAAATGATCCATAGCCCCCAAATACATTATTTTCTTCCCATACTCCAAAGGAAAAAGAGCAAAACACTTCCTAAGCATCTATTTCAAAATACATGCTTGGCATAGTTGATCAGAGGTGAGATAGTCACTGGGAGGATTCCAATTCTTTGTGGAAACCACCAAATGAAATACATTGGTATTAAGAGAAGGAAACTCCTGGAGGGATAACAACCAGAGATCCTCATGCAGATATCGATTAATAGTTCCTTACCCTCCTAAAAATTTTGGCCAGCAGAATGAGTGACAGTTATCTTCCTGAGATGAAATGCATTTTGGAAACTCCTCTGACAATGTCTCTGGGAGACAGGAAAGAAGAGTGACTGACCATCAATTCCGTAAATGCTAAAATTGGTATTGAAATTGCACACATTCTTGCTTTATTGCTGCTAAAACAATAAAAATATCTTGCTACTATTTTTTACCTAAGCATAACACACTATAACTTCACCTCCCCTCCAGCTGATGGTTTGTGCTTTGGACTTATAGTTTAAATAGAGATCTCAGGAAATTTGAAATCATTGCCAGATATAGAGACAGATTTTATAATGTGAGTTAAATGCATCATATGTTCACATTATAGGGTGCATAACACTTGCAGAAATTATAAATTCTCCATATGCCAGAATTAATAGCTTCCTTAAAGGATCTTTCAAAAATTATTCTTGTATGGAAGTAAGTTTCCAAAACTTTCTACAAGAAAACAGAAAAACATGGCACTTATTCACTGTTAGTTGGAACCAAGGCAAAATGAAGTTTTTAGCCTTTCTTCCCTTTATGATGGGTTTCCTACACAAAGCTTAAACCTTCACGAACATGAAGAATATCCTGTGGGAGTCCTCATCGATATCCTCGTCTCTAACTACTTGAAAAGACAAAAGGCAGTCTGGGGTAGTAGAGGCCATAAGAGAACAACTGGCCTAACAGATGTGAGGAGGTTATGAAAAAATTTCAAAAGGCCACTTAAGTAGGAATCCTAAGAGTAAGACTTGACAGCTCTGAGGGAAATAAAGAAGGTTAAGGCTTTATTTTTCCTGTAGAATGTGCCGGAAATTCTACTATGGTGGTAAAGAGACCCTGATCTGAAAGCCAAAAGGTCTTTGTTTTCAGCAACTGTTTTCTAAAGTACGATTGACAAAGTTTATGGTATTTTTCTGAAGCATTTTTTGCATATTATAGTTTTAAGTGGATTTTCTTCAATCACTTAAGGAAAGATCATATATTGTACATCTTAGACAAGTTGCAGAGGTTAAGCATCGCTATGTCTGACCCACATTAATTTTTCTCATTAATCTATGATATCTACCAGTAATTTTACTCATTGCATTTGCAGGTTCAGTGAACATTTCAAATCGTTTATAATTTTGCTGGAATCTAGTATTCAAATTCATGACTGAATGCTTGGAAAACACAAGGCTGTAGAAGAGCCAAACTAGGCTTATGCAATAACTATGACTGAAAGGAATAGTTAAAGCCAGCAAGGTTTTCCTGCCAATTGTTTCCAAAGTCACTAATCACACAAAAAAATGCTCTAATTTTGTGATTCTTGTAACTCAAAACTGACTTCTCCAATACAATTACTGCCAAGTCAAACTATTATGAAAAAAAAACCATAGCTGCATAGTAGCATAACTTGGTTCAATCTCTTCTACTACCATTTGTTTTCTAGCTTAGCAGTTTTGAAGGGGTGAACTTCCTATTCACTTGAAAATAACAATGGGA